CTTCTTGAAATTGTCATCAATCGCTGCATAGAAAAATTTTTTTCAATTTTGGGATTCTATACATTTTCAAATTTCAACATTTTTTTTCAATCAATAAAAAAAATAGAAAACGAAAAAACACCACTGAAAAAATTTGAGGATTTTTTTTTTTTCGAAAATTGAAAAAAAAAATAGTGAGGATAGGTCCAGACAGTTTTAAATCTATTTATTTTTTCAAAAAGTACATATAAAAACAACAATTTTGAAAAAAAAACGTACCGATAACTCAATTTTTGAAAAAGTTATGGTTATTTAAAAAAAAGCTATTTTTTTAAAACTCAACTTTTTTGAGCTGTGTGAAAAAAATTGAAAAAATTATCAGAGGTTTTCAATGGGATAGAAAACAATAAATAAGTTTCAGCCAAAGCGAAAGGGGTCAAGGTTAAAAGCGGTCGATTTGGCGTGGAATGCCCCGTTAACATAAACGTGTTTTTGACAAAAAAAAGTCCGTAATTAATTGAAAAATTAATTTTAAATTTGTTACCTATTACAGTTAAATGTATTTATGAGAGAACCAAATTAATTTCTTTAAAAGATGAAAATTTTAACAATTAAAATTCATAAAGAAGTCAGTGTCCTGGAACTTTTGTTGATAGGGATTTTAAAAATATTGAAAATAAACTATGCAAGACAACAAAAATAAAATACTTATAAATGAAATTTTCACATACATATTTTTTTTTGTCGGAAAAATTTAGAAGAATGAGGAACAAATTGAACATTTGTTTTACAACTAATACTTTGTTGTTTGTCCAAAACACGTTAAAATAATGACACTCAAAATGAAAAAAAATGCAACAGCTTACCAAGTGATTTATACAATAAATATTATGTTGTAGAAACCTCAAGATCTGTAAATATTAGAATAGAAGCACACAAAGATAAAAGCGAAAATTTGAGAAATCAATAATCTCAAACGCATTTGGGAAAGGTCATATTTAGATCTCTTTTTGAGAATGAAATTTTTTTTTCGAAACGTTAGCTAACTGAAGAGCATGATTTTTATTCTATATTTGCCTGTTTTTTCTTCAGTTTTTCTTTCAATGTGATTTTTGATTTCATAAAATATCCCTTTCCTGCTTCTATTGGAGAAATGTTTTATTTCATTAATTTTTATTTACTTTTTTCACTAGCCACAAAATAAACAGATAAACATTAAAACTATGCACGAAATAAATAACTATCTTTAGAAAATATTTAAAATTATTACTATTTGCCAGACAACCAAAACTTTGTCACACGTGCGTACTACTATAACCAGATAGTTCCATCAAACTTTATACCTATCGTTGACATTATAAGTAAAAATACTAGGTGATCCATTTAAAAGAACGATAACCTCTGCAACAATTATTGTAATAAAAAAATTGAAACATTTTTATTCTTACTTTGATTTTTTTCATATCTCGAAAAACAACGGAGAAAATAGAAGTTAACACTTGTGGTGGACCAACATAATTATGAAATGCGTACTAAGTATTTTAATTTTTAGAAACTGTGTATTTAACTGGAACGCAAATGCCACCAAATAATCTTGCGTTCAAAATATGAATATTGAACCATATAGATATAGTTCAGTCCAAAATTCCTGTATTTGCAAGTTATATCACAAATGCACAAGTAGTTCGAAAATTACTTGTCATAGGTTAGTGACACTTAGCATCGCGACTTATCTAAATTAAGGTAAAAAACTAATAAAATTGTGCACCCCATATAAGAAAAAAAGGAAAATAGCCCCATTTGTGATATTTTTGAAATAAATAATATTTTCATTTTTTGTATCAAAATTTTTTATATAAGTTCAAATATGGACATATTTCTATGATTTTATTAAATCTTATTAAGTAATTAATTAACAATGTAGATTTTTTTGTCATATCAAATTTTCGTAAATGTACAATTAAAAGTTAAACTTAAAACGTACTGTTTAAAAAATTATAATCTTTTTTTTTACTGGCAACAATTTTTTTTTAACCACAATTAGTATACAGAGTGGTCCGAATTTTATGCGGGAAACTTCGAGGGCAGATAGATCTCTTTAAAATAATATGTGTTTACCTTATAAACATTGGTCTGGAACAGCCCCGTTTTAGAGATACAGGGTGTTGAAGTTGTTAAAAAAAATTGATTTTTTATTTATATCTCCGGAACCTATTAACCGATCTCAATAAAATTTGGTATAGATAATATATATGATAGTAGGCCTTCAATTCGTTAAAATAAGAGCTTTACAGGTTCAACCAATGGAGTACAACTGGACAGGGGTCACCACTTTTTTACAAAAAAACTACGCCACTGCATTCTTTACAAGTCATTGTAACTGATGTAACTTGAATTTGTTCCCTAAAATTCGCCGTTCTAAAGTTATTCGTTCCAATACAATCCCCTTGTGGCAGACACTTCTAATCATAATATTACAAGAATATTTATGTTTATGCTTAAAAGTAAGTACAATTTGTAAGCACATCAACAAAATTATTTACACTCTTTTCTAGATTACCTGTGAGGTAGTGTTCGAGGAATTTAGGTTTCCCTGAAGGCCTCTTTACAAACAAGAACAATTTAAATCAAAATAATAATACAAATATATTTACCAAGCAACAGCAACTAAATAAAAAACAAAATTAACGTTACGTATTTACAATAATGGTTCAAAATGCGAACCACCCATATCGATACAATTCTGACATCTTCTATTAATGAAATTAATTGAAGATTAATTGAATCTTGTGGTGGTTTTCTTTTAATCCATTACACCCGTCTTCTATTCGATGCAGTAGTGGTCTTGTGTTTGTTGGATTAGAATAAACTTTACTTTTCAGATAACCCCAAACATAGAAGTCCAGGCGGTTCAGATATGGCAATCTGGCTGGCCAAGACACTGGACCCTCTGCACCCTTATGGTTGACATTGGCATTTGATCTTTTACCTATCCATCGCCCCATATAATTTTCATTATATCATTCTTATATTATTATCCCAGAATGCGCACGAGCACCATCCATTGTATCCAGCAATTTTGTTGTATATTTAATGGAACATCCTCTAATAATTCAAATAGATGTTTTTCTAGAAAGTATAGAAATTACTGGGAATTTAGACGGGGTGGCAAGAAGAAAGGTCCACAAACTTTATTGCGAATTATTCCGAGCCACACGTTCACAGAAAATTCGTGTTGAGATCATCTTGTCCGAATTTCATGACCACTTTCTTGTGACCAAATATGCAGATTGTGAAAATTCACTACCCCTCGCCTTTAGTAAATGTACATTTATTATTATTTTGATTTAAGTTGTTCATATTTTGTGCAATAGAATATAAATCCGATACAATAACTTGTAAAAAATACAGTGGCGTAGGTTTTTTTTATAAGTTCAGTTGTACACCACTGATTGTACCTTTAGAGCTCAGAGGGAATGCAAGGCCTACTATCATAGATTATCTGTACCAAATTTTATTGAGATCGGTTAAGAGATTCCCGAGATATAAACAAAAAATATATATTTTTTAACAACTTCAACGCCCTGTGTCTCTAAAACGGAGCTATTCCAGATCAATGTTTATAAAGCAAATACATATTATTTTAAAGAGATCTATCTGCCCTCGAAGTTTCCTGCATAAAATTCGGACAACCCTGTATAGATATAAAAACTATATTTAAAACTCCAAAAGTGCAATGATCAGAATCATTATTACAAACTCGCTATCAAAAATTAATTTTCTTAAATATCTTGAAAAAATTTACAACCTGGTAACACTGTACCACTTCGCACTATGACGGCATTGCAAACTTATTGTAGACAGACTTTAGCCCACTTGGGCAGTATATTATCAATGTACCGTTTATACCTATATATTTTTATTATTCTAAATTCATTATTTTGTAAAGGAAAACGAAAAAATTTGTATTTATACAAAAGTTAAGACATGTTTCATGGATTTTTCACCATTGAAGCCAAATAATGAGATGGTAGATACTAGTGGTAAAAAAATTATTTTGCCTTAAAATATCTCTTTTCCTTTTAAAGACAACATATCGCAAATGAAATAATTTATACAAATTTGTGTACTGTGTGAATTATTTTTTCATTGTCGTACCACGAAGGATATTACAATCAAGTTTTGTGAGGATGTAATTTCGTCTAGATGTGTGTGTAACGGTATCCAGCTAATATGTTCAAGCATGCATTGATCGCTTACAATTTTGTATTTTACTACCTCAGTCACTAAAATAAATGCCTTAATAAAATTACGAATTTGATTTACGGTGCTACATCTGTGTGCGGCGGGATTTTGCAGCGGAATTTTAGTTTTATGGCTCAGTATTTATCTAGTAGAAGTGGACGGCTTAAGCCGGCCATACACTCACGTTCCAACGTCGCAGAAAGACTACGCTAGACGCGATAAAACCGAAATGGTTTTTATGGTGTGGATCATCAAATGCGGTTTTTCTCTGCTTGCTTAGATAACCATTGTTTTTATGAAACCATTGTTTTTATGAAGTTGACCATTATTTTTTATGAAATTATCTCACATTGAACAAATAAGGTCAAAAAAATAAAATAAAAAAGGCATAGTTATATCACATCACAATATTCTAAATTGTACGAAATATGTTTGAAAGTTAATATATTTTTCTACAATCACGCAATAAATAACTACTGGCGAGTAATTTTGAATGAGAAAAAGTATATCCTTATTGCACAAATGCAATAAAACACTATTTTTGCCATTCGGTCCATAAACACTTCATTTTCAAAACTGACAGACCATTTATTACAGAGATGTTAAAGTGACCAAATAATAGGAAATCCCAAAGAGTTTAGGCCAATATCAAATGTGATGGTCAAACACAATCATCTAAATGCGTACCTACTAGCGATATTTCTGCGATATTCAAACGTGTATGGCCGACTTTACACGAAATAGGTTCTAAAGCACAAAACACAAATATATCCCACCTCTGATTCGGGCTTTTACAATCAGATTCGTTAGCGTTGGAACTGTCATCCTCGTCTCTGCTGGTGTTCTGGGATTTCGGTGACTGCAGTGGCGTATTGGCGTCGTCCGAGCTTCCTTCTTCTCCTCCTGCGTTGGAAACCATCAGCTGGCCCCCTCCCGCCCCGCTACTACTTCCATTGTGACCCCCATTGTTCGAAATTACTCCCCCGCAAGTAGGGGGGTCAATCTGCAACGAAAAGAGAAAAATATGTGTGCATTCTTCCAGAAGACGAGTTCTTTTCTAAAATACGCTACAGGGTGTCCCTCGAGAACTGACTCAATCGATACAGGGAAAATTATATGCATGGAAAATTTATTTGATAGATTTAAATTTTTAACGCATAACTCATATCGTTCAAATACCTTATACTTAAGGATGCCTTAATATATGCAGTCTGTTTGATTATAAAGACCCCGAGCTATAACTACTCGGTTACCAATTTTTGGACACCCTGTAAAGTACAGGCTGTTACAAATTTGCTTCTCACTACAGGGATCTCGGAAACGGTAAGAGATACGGGGACAAACTTGCGTAATCAAGGTACCAATATTATGCCTCTAAAAAATTAAAGCTTAGTAAACTCACAAACAAAATAGCTATCGCCACAGACCGCTACTAGAATAGGCCAGCAGTATTAAAGTTCCGAATTGCCGATAGAGTAAACCACCAGCAGAATTTTAGGAAGAATCAAATGCAGCGGCCCGCATTCTTACGTGTATCCCAGCAACATATAAACAACGGTTTGGCAATGTTGTCACGTGTACTTACGGATTTATTTTGTACATTTTTTATCAATGCCTGTTTTTTGCGATACCGTATTTACTTAAATGTAGGTATTGATAAAAATGATTTAAAGAATGAACGAATAGGTACCTATGTAATCAACTTAGACGATCGGATCACAGACAAAATAGCTATCGCCACAGACCGCTCCTGGAATAGGCCAGCAGTTTTAAATTTCCGAATTGCCGGTAGAGTACACCACCAGCAGAATTTTAGGAAGAATCAAATACAGCGGCCCGCATACCTAAGCGTATCCTAGCAACATATAAACAAGACTTTGGTAATGTTGCCAGGCGTACTTACGGATTTCTTTTGTACACTTTTTTATCAATATCTGTTTTTTGCGTTACTGTATTTACTTCAATGTATGATGTAGGTATTGATTAAAATGTTTTTAAAGATTTAACGAATATCTATGTATGTATCATATGATATTCTGCAGTGGTGTTACAATTAAGTTATTTAATCATAATTTCGTTAATTAGCTACCTACTATTTTCATTTTTTGGTATTGAAATACTGCAGAAAATATATTTCCAAATAAACAAAATTCGTAATAATATTTTAAACTGCTTGTAATATAATTTTTTTAATATTTGATGATGACGATAAATTTATTTAATATACAAGGTAGGTTATTAGTACGTCGCGGAATGTAGGTACAGGTTTTTTTTTTGTATTTTGACATCCACTTATAGGTTTAATAATTAAAGATAGAAGGAAACTTTAAATACAAATGTACGACTTTTCCTTTATTTCATTTGACATCAAAATTTACTGGCATATATGTTTAAAATAAAAAAAAATCATTAAAAAAAATTAAAATTCATCCTTATGAAAATAAACAACGCTTTTTATAACTAACCTTTACAACAACATAAGGAGAATACCTAAAAACGAAATAACATTAAAATACCTAACTACAATTTTTACAAATCAACATGCAAGTGATTGTGATGATTCAGTTGAAAATATGTTTCAATTTACTATTAATTGCTTAAAAAACAAATTCAAAATTATCAAGCATTTCGTCCTGTATTTTTTTTAATACTTGCAAATTTTCAGGTGAAAAAAATATGTCTAAAGGACTGACAATGAGATCGGGGCTGTTTTCTGGCCACCTAAGGTTTCTAATATTTTTTAGTGTTGTTGACGGGATTCTTCCTCCAAAATAAATTTGCCAATATTCCTGAAGAACTTTTGCACATTATTGTTATTTGAATAATACAGTTAATTATGTTTTATTTTTCGTCATCAGAATAACCCATTGTAATTTTTTTAATTTTTTAAATTAAAATGGGTTATTCTAATAATGATAAATCCCATGTATTTTTAAAAGAAGGTTCGTTTCTGTCGTTTTTGTCTGATTGTGTGCGAGAGAGATAGAGTTATAGTGTGCGATAGAGATAGAGTGACTCTGTCCTCATAGAGAGCTTATCTCTCTCTCTCTCTCTCTCTCTGCTGTCTTCAGGAGTCTCCCCAGCAATTTCAGGACACCTAGGGAGGGAACGTGGGGTAGAGCGCGTGGCCTTGTTAAGCCTTCGTTATCGATCTATGATGTCACACAGTATAAGAAAAAAAAATGGTTTTTGCTCGTAACTCGGAAATGGCTGGAAATATAAACAAATTTCCCCTTGGTTCTGAGTAGAGCACTCGGTGGGTGACGCAGAGCGGGGTGTCACAATATATGAAAGAAAAAAAAACAGTATTTGCTTAGACTCTTAAGTATCAAAAAATCTCCCATGGTGAACAAATAAATCTCCCATGGTGAACGAGTGAAAAACGTCAAAACCCGCATGTCAAAAAAAAAAACGGGACCAACGGTGTGTGACGTCATAGGATAAAAAAGTGTTTATAACTCGGAAACGGTGCGTTGAATCGAAAAAATAATTGAAAAATGTCAACCCCTCCCTCCCGGGTTCTGTATGTTCCTTCTGCGTTGAATGCAAAAGGTCCGAAGTCCGTATGTCGAAAATAAATTCTGGAAACAAGAGGTATGTCGTGTTATAGTAAAAAGGCCGTATAACTCGGAAACGGTGCGTTAAATCGAAAAAATAATTGAAAAAATCTCCCCACACCCCTGGTTCTGTATGACAGTTCTGCGTTGAATGGAAAAGGTCCGAAGTCCGTATGTGGAAAATAAATTTCGGAAAGAAGAGGTGTGTGAGGTGATACAGTAAAAAAGGTCTTATAATTCGGAAACGGTGCGTTGAATTGAAAAAATAATTAAAAAAATCTCCCCACTACTCTGGTTCTGATTGTCCGTTCTGCGTTGAATGGAAACGGTCCGAAGTCAGTATGTCGAAAAACAAAAAAGTTAGTTAGTTAAAAATTGCAACAGCAGTAGCGAACGCATTATCTTATCTCTGTATTGATTGATGATTTGTTGTTTTTTTTTAAATAAATTTCGTATTCAACTACTCCTTGAGGTTCCAGCAATTTTACATTGTGTTAATTTTTTTGAACACCTTGTGTCACAAATATGGGCACTACCAATGACATCCATAATATGCAACACTTGTGTCAATAAATAATTATTTACCTATCTAAAGAAATCAACAATAAGAGGCAGTACCCATCTAAGGATACACAATCTGTATAATGCAATTTTTTTAAACATAGGTTTTGATATCGTACCATATTGGAAGTCGACGCACAAATCTAAAAACATTACTTTCGAGTTTTTGAATTTTCCCATTCCAAGGTGATATAAAATAAATAATTAATTAGGTAAATTCATAGTTTTAATTCTAACTTGATTTATTTTATTTAACATTTAAGGCAAATGTGATTTCCAAACACAAGATAAGTTCCATATCTCTTTGATTACATAATTGAAAGTATTAAAATTTAGCAGTTATTATTTGGCAACAAAGCCACCGCTGGAACTGCCGCCTATTAGCAAGTAGAAGAGTTACCACGATAAATTTTATAGCTGGAAGCCGGCTAAGGAGACCCTGCTTCCATTTCGGGTTGCCAATTTCCAGCATTTAAGTAGCAGTCTGTAGCGATACGCTATATTGTCTGTGATCGGATATTCTGCAGGGGTTATTTAATCAAAATTTGATTAATTTGCTACTATTTTCATTTTTTGGTATTGAAATACTGCAGAAAATATATTTCCAAATAAACAAAATTCGTAATGATATTTTAAACACAAATATAATTTTTTTAATATTTGATTGATGATAAATTTATTTAATATACAATGTGGGTTACGTCGCGGAATGTAATTACAGGTTTTTTTTGTATTTTGACGTCGACTTATAGGTTTAATTATTAAATATAGAAAAAAACTTTAAATACAAATGTACGACTTTTCCTTTGATTCATTTGACATCAAAATTTGCTGGTATAAAATATATGTTTAAAGTAAAAAAATCATTAAAAAAATTTAAATTCATCCTTATTGAAATAACAAACAACGATTTTTATAACTCACCTTTACAACAACAGATAGAGAATACCTAAAAACGAAATAACATTAAAATACCTACCTACAATTTTTACAAATTTTCAACTTACATTGTGATGATACAGTTGAAAATATGCTTTAATCTACTATTTATTGCTTTAAAAACAAATTTAGAATTATCAAACATTTCGTCCTGTATTTTTTCTTTCAATACTTGTAAATTTTGAGGTCTTTAATAATATATTTTGTTGAGCGTGTCCCCACAAAAATATGTCTATTTGGAGCTGTTTTCTGGGTACCTAAGGTTTCTAATAATATTTTTTAGTGTTCGTTGACGGGATTCGTAATCCAAAATAAATTTGCCGATATTCCTGAAGAACTTTTGCACATTATTGTTATTTGAATAATATAGTTTAATTATGTTTTATTTTTCATCATCAGAATAACCCATTTTATTTTTTTTAATTTTTCTTTACTTAGGTAAAATAATTATTGACAAGTGTTGCATATCATGATCATGGATGCCATTGGTAGTGCTCATATCTGTGACACAAGGCGTTCAAAAAAATTAACACAATGTAAAATGGCTGGAACCTAAGGAGTAGTTGAATACAGAATGTATTTAAAAAAAGCAAACAAATCATCAATCAATGATTCCTTACAGAGATAAGATGATGCGTTCGCTATTGCTGTTGCAAATTTTGACAAACTTTTTTTGTTTTTCGACATACGGACTTCGGATCTTTTGCATTCAACGCAGAACGGACAATCAGAACCAGGGGTGTGGGGAGATTTTTTTAATTATTTTTTCGAAACTACATAGATATTCGTTGATTTTTTAAAAACATTTTTATCAATACCTACATTATACATTTAAGTAAATACAGTAACGCAAAAACAGATA